AGGCTTTGACTTTTTTTCTTTTTATAAAAAGATAGGGCATTTACCTGTCAGCCTGTGAAACTCTTCCACTTAAGCAAGGTTTGGTGATAACATAGCATGAGGTGTATTTACATCAGCGTCCAACACGTGAACATGGGGAGCAGCTGGAACCACCACCTCTTCTCCCTTCAGTGCAGGTGCGACGCCTTCCGGGCACAGCCCCTGTTAAGCCCAGCCAGCGACAGAGTTCAGTCATGGGTTGGGCATTTAGCTTGTCCTGGAGCCAGAAGGTCCCAGACCCTCACCTTCAGTCCAGAGACTGAAGCAGTGACGGCCACGGCCCTGTGAGCCAAGCTGCAGCTGCTGGTCGGTGGGCAAGGCGAGGCCCTCTGAGCTTCTGCCTCTCCTCCGGCCTCTGCGCTGTCCATGGCAGCATGCGGGTGAACGAGCATCTGGGTGGTGACACCTGGTCACTGGCATATTGCTGCTGCCAAAGTAAATAAGAGTCAGTGTTGTGAACCAAAACCATCTTGTCTGTATTGTTCATATGACACTGGGTATGATCTCAGGCTATTTCATGGCAATTTTACAGCACAAACTCTTTCTTCTATGTTTCATATCAGCTTAGAAAACACAAGCAGTTTCATTAGAATCAGACTCAAGGCTCTTGGGGGTATTTTGTATAAAACATTTGGTTTAGAAATGTCTTCTCCTTAGACCTTTGTAAGAATCGAAGAATATACATTAAAACAATAAAATATTACTTTTAGCCTGACAAATTTGGCAAAGACTTTTAGAAGCCATAATTTTCTGTGCAGGTAAGAGTATGAGAGAATAGGTGCTTACATACTATTTGTTGGAAGCAGAAATTGGTGTGATGTTTTAGAAAGCAGCTTGGCAGGGCAGCACCTGTGGCTCAGTGGGTAGGTCGCCGGCCCTGTATACCAAGGGTGACGGGTTCAAACCCAGCCCCAGCCAAACTGCAACAAAAAAATAGCAGGGCGTTGTGGCAGGCACCTATAGTCCCAGCTACTCAGGAAGCTGAGGCAAGAGAATCGCCTAAGCCCAGGAGATGGAGGTTGCTGTGAGCTGTGACACCACGGCACTCTACCAAGGGCAATAAAGTGAGACTCTGTCTCTAAAAAAAAAAGAAAGAAAGAAAGCAACTTGGTATTACATATTAAAAGTCATGACAATAGCCTGGTACACTGACTCAGCCTTTAATCCTAGAACTCTGGGAGGCCAGGGAAGGTAGATCACTTGAGCTCAGGAGTTCAAGACCAGCCTGAGCAAGAGTGAGACCCCATCTCTACTAGAAATAGAAAAATGAGCCAGGCATTGTGGTAGGAGCCGGTAGTCCCAGCTACTTGGGAGGCTCAAGCAAGAGATTTGCTTGAGTCCAGGATTTTGAGGTTGCTGTGAGCTATGATGCCACTATTGTCTACCCAGGGCAACAGAGGGAGACTACTTTAAGAAAATAATAACATGAAAATGTTTGTGTCTTAACTTTTGACAGCCTAAAAGCTGGCTTGCAGACCTCCTTCCTCCCCTAAAACTAGCCAAAAGGACTTTGAAATAAGGTCAAAGGCCTCATTAGCACTGTAACAGATGACTGCTGCTAGTTTGGGCTGAGTGGAAGGAAGCTGGGTGCCAGTTCACAGCACCCACTCCACAGAAAAGAGTCTGTGATGGAAACACAAGTGTGAGCTTTCCAGTCCATCTGCATTAACTGCCTTTAATTTCAAGGAAGAGGCCTGGTGGTTTGGGCAAGATCATCCCAGATAACAGCTTCCTGAGGCCTCGACCACAGATGACAAGGAAACATAACAGCATGACTGTCGGTTTCACCTGACCTGGTTCTTGCTTAGGTGTCTGGGCAAACCCTGTGGTCTTCAGGCTCCAGGTGTCTGGGCAAGGGCAGACAGCAAAGGCCATGAGGACAGCACGAGGGGATAGTAAGTGATATGTAAAACCTTTAAAAGAAGTATGTTTAAGGGCGGCACCTGTGGCTCAAAGGAGTGGGGCTCTGGCCCCATGTGCCAGAGGTGGCAGGATCAAACCCAGCCCCGGCCAAAAAAACTGCAAAAAAAAAAAGAAGTGTGTTTAAAATTAAGAAATTCTATTGAGGAATAGAAACAGAAACATCTCTTTCTCAATTATATACTTAATATACCAATTTAACTAAATTTTAATTTACTCCTGATGGGTTTGATATGAATTAAGGAGGGGAGAGACATGGCTAAATGATTCTGAAGTTCATCTGGATGAGCAAACATCAAAAAACAGTCGGGAGGAACCTCAAAAAGAAGCTGCCCCCCCCCCCCGAACTTCTGTGGAGGAATGGCAATAGCATTGTAAGGGGAAAATATTTTCAACCTAGAATTCTCTGTCCAGCCGGACTGTTGACTGTGAAGGTAGAAAAGGGAACTTTTCGTGTATGAATTCATCCAGAAACTGCGTCTCCTTTCTTAAGGAGATGATAACCCAAAATAAGTTACTGAGGCAAAGATCTCAATCAACGGAGGTTTATTAAGCCAAAGTTTGAGGACGCATCTGGGAAAAACAAAGCCACAGACACGTCTATGACCTTTCCCATTCCCCCACCCCCACATGGGATTTGAGAACTTCAGCGTTTAAGGGGAGGGGCCCACAGATAGAAAAGAGAGGAATGCGTGGGCGGGGAGGCGAATGAGGCCCAGGAAATCTGTATTGGACATACGGTATGTAGAAGAGAAAAAGGAGAAAGAAGGAGGTCTCTGGGTAGGTGGAAGAACGGTTGATCTCGTCTCTGTTCTGTGCCTGGGAAGATAAATCTGTAACCAACATTATTAGTATGGAATTGAACAGACTTTAGTTTTAGGAACTAGATGTAGCCTGCAGACCCAGAGTTGAAATTTGCATGTCTTCTCATAAAAAGGACGCCAACAAGGAATTTCACTTCTTATACTTGGCTGAGGCCTTTTACCTTTCGCTGAGGAACCAGGCTAATGCACAAAGTTAGTAACCGTCATTCATTTGGAAGGGTGTACTGCGTGACTCAGTCTTCAGACTTAACTTTCGCCCTTTGCATAAAGAGTTGGGGGGTGTTCCTGAAATTGTCATTTTTCTAAGGAAAGCTAGGGACACACTTTAGCAAAACGAGTAAAACGTAGAAATCCACTTGAGGTTCTGGATGGCTCTGGGCTGAAGAGGTTGATAGAATGATGAGATGATTAAGAGCTTGAGGTTGTGAATTATTACAGGAGAAAATGGGAATCTGTGTAGAGAAGTTATGGTCCAAACATGCGGCAGGCCCTCCATGCCAGAACAGAAAGTTGGTGGGTGCGAGGAGCATGTTGTGAATTGTAAGCAATAGTCAGAATGGGTGGGAAGCAGATGAGAAGGAGGCATAAGTTCTTCTCCCTGTAAGAAAAATCCCAAACAAGCAGAAACTCTAAGAAAAAAACAAACGTTTGAAGAAAAGGGTCCAAATCTAGAGTAGACTAAAATATGGTATGATTCCAAGCAGTCGGTAGAGTGACAAAGAGGACAATCCTTCTGAGGTAAAGCTCGGAGTAGCGGAGGGTCACCACTGTGGAACAGGAAGAAACAGAATCACAGCTCGCCTCTGCTTGAATGCCATTTGTTATTTTCAGCTTCCAGAATCACTCTGGTAGGAGAGCGCAGAAGACTTAAATGTGCTTCTAGAAAAGGACGCACATGTTTTCAGTTTTATCAGCTTAAAAGTAAAACTTGACAAAGGGGAGGAAAGATGAGGGAACTTTCTCCGTATTCAAAGTAGACTTGAGAAGCGTTGTCCATGACTGATGGGGTAAGAAATAGCAGTTTAAGGATATTTAGGGTCACAGACTTAACCAATAATAATAAGGGAGCTAAAATGAGTTGTATGACTAGTGAAAGGAGGAGAGAGATACATGGTAGTAGCTAAGTCCTCATTTGTCTTGGAGGAAGTCAAATGACTCTGTTTTAGAAGTTAAGAAATAGTTGTATAGGCTCGGGCCCCATAGCACAGTGGTTATGGCACCAGCCATATACACCGAGGGTGGCAGGTTCAAACCTGGCCCAGGCCTGCTAAGCAAATGCAACAAAAAGAATTGCCAGGCATTGTGGTGGGTATCTGTAGTCCCAGCTACTCGGGAGGCTGAGGCAAGAGAATTGCTTAAGCCCAAGAGTTTGAGGTTGCTGTGAGCAGTGACGTGACAGCACTCTACCAAGGGCAACATAGTGAGACTCTGTCTCAAAAAAGAAAGAAAGAAAGAAATAGTTGTATAAATATATTACAGAGAGCCATGGAGGTAATCATCACAATTAAAGAGAGAAATTAAAAAATGGTTTCCTGGCTTGGCACCTGTGGCTCAAGTGGCTAAGGCACCAGCCACATACACCTAAGGCAGCAGGTTCGAATC